CTGGGGGGGGGGGGGCTAGAATTACAGTGAAGTGACAGTTCGCCTAATAATTAAAAAAATGATGAATTCCTCCACAATCAGGGTTCAGTACGTGGGAGGGAGGCGGATTGTGATTGGACTCGGGCCCCTGGTGGGAGGAAAGGGTTTAGGGTGTTTTCAACGTATGTTTATCACTTTATATCTGTAATTTCGAACTGAAACATAATTATTTAATATTAAATAGAGGAATAAATGTTTGCCCAATATGGCGGGTGGTTGTGTACAATCATGGCATCCTCCATGTTGTCTTTAGGTTATTAGAATATTTTGGTCTGGCCTGCAGGTGTTATAAAACAATTTGACAAATGTCTGAAATGAAATACCGACAGAGTCGAATGATTTACTTAGAATTTGTACCTGTTTGAACAGTTGATAAAACCTTTTGAACCAATATGCATGCGTCGTTTGTTGATTATGGCATTTTAGCATTTTACAAAAATGACTGCAGAAAGTTAGGTTATGGTGAAGTTGTTTACCAACATATTTAGCATATGTACAGCCTTTAACGGTTACTAAACAACAGTTGTATAAGTGCTTCCGTTGGGAGCAATTTGTTGGTTAAAGTAGAAAATTGCACAGCAAAACAACAAGGCTCGGGTTTGTTTTATAAACGTTACCATGGATGCCACAACACAACCATTTCGACTAACGTGCAAATATGCCGTATAAAATAGTTGTATAAACGTTTATGCAACAGTTACAAATTTGCTCTATAAGGTGTTGTATAACTATGCTATAAGAATATTTTAAACACTTCATTTTAGAGCAAATATGTTGCAGAAACCAAATCTGCATACCCCCCTGCGCGTTGGACAAATCGAGATCCACCACTAACATTTTTTTTTATTTATAATTTATCCTTCAATGGTCACCCATTCACAGGATGATTACCTGAACAAAATAAACTATTAGTCTATGTCAGAGTTTGGAAAGAAAATATTTTTAAAAGTGACAAAATTGGAGGAAGGGGGTAGATAGTAATATTTATTTGTCTCCAAAATTCACAACCATTACACATAGAATTTTATAGAGGACAAATAAATGATGAGCCCGCAGAAGGGTGGCCCTTGTGCGCGGGTACAAGAAAATAGAAAATACTTATATACTGACGATTACGTAACACAATAAAATCCTTTTTTTTATTCTAATTAACAAATGAGTGATATATATGGATTTGAGTAAAATTCCATATATGTAAGTGAAGTATCATAGAATATGGTAAGTACATATATCAGAGGAAGTACTAACCACTAAAGGATAACCTGGACAACTGGACCAAAACTAAACTTAAGGATTTTAAAATACAACACTACAGATAATTTAAAATGGGCCGCTAAGGCTTAATGACTTTAACTAAACTAGCGGCTGATCTATCTATAACTATTTTTTCGGCCGCATCACAGACCGCTAAGGCTAAATAGATCTACACTAAGTATAATATATGAAGGCTTAAAAAGTATCGGTTAGGAAATGGAAAATTTAATCTGAGAATGACCTACAACTTACAATATATAGCTCGTGCCTTCTATGTACATATGGATTTTAACTCTTGGGACCACGTGCAGCCAGTCTTTTATTTGTTTTTTAAATGAGTTTAAATTATTTACTTTTTTGCAAGACACTTGGATGGTATTGAAAATTCTTGGACAGAGAAAAATCCAGGCCCTTTGTATGAGTGTTTTCTCCTGAGACAGCATTTTCTGACGGGTGCCATAGCAGTGTTCAATTTGCTTCAATGAGGACCGATTTTTGTACTGAAAAGTAATGAGATTGTACATATATAACTGTCTGACGTAAAAAACAATAGCCTCAGCAAACAGCTCGTTGGAAGGATATGTCTTTCTTTTTTTGTATACCAGTTTAAGTGTGTAGTTTTGTACGCATTCGAGATTTCTGAGATGACTTGAGGCCACAGCTCCCCAACCAATGATACCATAGTTTGAATGAGACTGAACAAGTGCAAAATATAATGTTTTTAAAGATTTCTCAGTCAGTAATCCTGTTAGATGTTTAAATTTTGGTAACAGCATTCTAATTTTTTTCGTTCATTTCAAGCTTTTATCGACGATAATGCCTAGATATTTTATGTCACTGCTCCGTTTAATAGTTATTGTATCTTAGATTAATGTTTAGCGTGTGGTACTCTGGCAAGTGATTTTTGTAGGAAGCAAAGGGGACAAAGTTGGTTTTTGCGATATTCACGGTCAAAAGTTTACTGTTATAAAATTCAAGAATAGTTTTAAGATCATACTCCATGAGTATTTTTAGTTCTGCCCAGTTAGCACCTTTATATATAACTACCGTATCATCCGCAAATACCAAAATTGTTCCTTTGCTGTCCAATGAATAAATGTCATTTATGTAGATATTGAACAGTACCGGTCCTAAAATCGTCCCTTGGGGGACGCCATATTGTACTACCCCATAATCACTTGTTAGATCGCTGATTCTAACACACTGTTTACGTTCTGATAGATAGCTAGGCATTAGTTGTAAGGTATTTTCCCTAATACCGCTATTTTCGAGTGATTCCAACAGCTTAGCGTGACTTACCATGTCATGCTGAAACAGTTATTTATAATATAACAAAGAGGCTTCGTTATATAAGGACCGATTTTTTTTTATCGTTTTCTGCCTTTAGACCATCGTATCCCGGAGCTTTACCACCTTTAAGATCTAGTATAGTCAGAAGCACTTCTTCCCCATTCGTTTCTTCCAGGGAAATGGAGTTCTTAAGTTTTTTGTGCTTACCAAAATTATTGAAGTAATTAGTAAATTCTTGGGCTATTATATTTTGACTTCTACTTGATTTTTAGTTATTATCCTTTCTATACTCTTATCGAGGTTGGAAACACATCCGCCCTCCTTCTCATGGAACTGCCTACTCGTTGAAATATCCCTGGATTGTTTTTTATTCTATCGCAAGCTGCAACTATTCTTTCTCTTAATTCCTCTACAGTGTTAATGGAACTTGTGTACACCAGTGTCCTAAGATAGCCCCACAAAAAGAAATCTAAACTGTTGAGGTTTGGGGAGCTTGGCGGCCATTCTTGGGGCCCACCGCGGCAAATCCAACTATTTGGATAAACAGTTTGTAAATAATTACGAACCGCTACACTGAAATGCGCTGGTGCACCATCATGCATGTACCACATATTGTTTCTTGTTACTAACGGAACATCATCAAGCAGCAAAGGCAAACTGTTGTTGAAGAAAATTGAGGTAAGTCTGTCCGTCAAGAATGGCCAATAAAGTGGTTGCCAATAAATCCTGCCCATACGTTAAGCGAAAATTGGTGTTGGAAATGGGTTTCGGTTACGGCATACGGATTTTCTTCTGCCCATAAATGATTATTGTGAAAATTCTGAATGGCATTTCGAGAAAAATTAGCTTCGTCCGTGAACAGAATCAGTGATTCAAATTGCGGATTTTGTGTAATTTTTTGAGGATACCACTGACAAAAGGTCACACGGCTTGGAAAATCAATGGAAAGTAATGCCTGTACAATGTGATGGCAAATATATAAGTGTCTAGCGATCTTCCTCGTACTCGTTTCAGGATGTCCTCCGACTTCATGCAGCACTGCTTCCTCAATTTCAGGGGTTCTCACACCTAGAGGTCCACCTTCAGATGTTCCTTTTCGGACGGAACCAGTTTCAACAAGACGACGATGAATATTAGAAAAGGTTCGACTATCTGGCAAAGCACGATCGGGATATCTCTGGTGATAAATTCGTCTGGCTTGCTCACCATTACCGTCGGCAAGGCCATATACGTGATGCATTTCCGCCATTTCTGCATTTGAATAATTCACCATTATTAAGATTGTAAAAACTAAATAATGAAAAAAATGTCACAGCGAACAGATTTGAATAACAGAGACTTGTCAGATGTCAAAAAAAACGCTTGTTCAATTTCAGTTTTTTAAACATGTTTTAAACAAAAATTGTTTTAAACCTAAGAGAATATTTAAAACATGTTTAAAACATTTGATCAAAACAAAATGTTTAAAATGAAGCAGCTCTGGTACAAAGCTTTGGCTAACTATTTGTAGATGACACTGGTCAGTGTTGTCATCTCTTTGGCAAAAAGGGTAGCGCTTTTCACGTTCTTCAAAACTAACATAGTACCTTTCATGTTATAGTAATCAACTGAAGTGGGCCAATCTTATGTATAAATAGCCATTTCGATACTATAATCTGGTACCAAAATGGAAGAGAGTAGCATAACGCATTGTAAACCACTGCTAAAGCGAAGTATCCTTGTATACCGCAGGATCCACGTGTACCTACTTTGACGACACAAAGACACGCGTTAACGGCGGCGTTCGATGTGCTGTGCGGAATAAACGATAAATAATTAGAGATGACATAGTTATTCTTTTACTAGGGATCTCCTCATTGCGAATGATCTTGACACTGCTTGTGACAAGAGAGTTGTTGAACATTTTCCTCGACGAGGGCAGACTTACTCGACCTACTTTGCATAGTCGTTAACTTCAATAGTTCCTTGAGGGATACAATGGCGCATGGCAACAAAAAATGCAAACCGCATGAAATATCAAATTAGTAATTGACAACCAGACGAAATGAGTTGGCCTTAAACCGAAAAAGGAAGCTTTCTTTATTATCCTGTTAGTTCCTAATGATGAGGCAAATAAGCTGCCTTCACAAAAAGTCTCAAGGACACACTGCCCTAAAACATATCTGTCGTGTTTAGATATAAAAAAATATGAGTCCGATCATATCATGCCGTTGGAAAGTTCATCTACCGTATATATTTGCTCACAAATAAATGACGAATTCCATTTATTGTGGAAATGTCTGCAGTTTATCTGACATATAAACGGTACACTTGCTTCTAATTTCCATTAGAATTGTTTGTTAATAGCATGGATATCTGACAGTCTATCGTGTTTTATAATCATTCTGCAATCATTATGAATGCAACTTCTATTGCAGCTTGGTATAGCAGTGGGCTTCCTTGTACCTCCAATGATAGTACCTGGTGGAACTACCGAAGAAGTAACGTCTCAGTTGTATACCTTATTCATCGGAACTGCTATCGCTGCAACTATTATTTTAGTACTAGTTTTGTTATGTAAGTATATGAACATACTTTTGTCTAATCAAAATCATGTGTCATTTTATTTAACAACTTTTGCTGATACTACCGAGCGGCCAAGCATTGCGCTAGTATTATTTTCTCTATTCGTTATTGTAACACCTCAGTAGAGGTACATCTGCCTTTTTTGCGGATTTCATAAATGTACGAGGGTGGTCCCAGAAGTACCCGGCCTGACCTAGAGATGGCGATAGTTGTTTGAAAAATATCATTGTATTAGAAAGTATTCAACATATAAAGCATATGTGTCAAGTTTGAAGACGCCACGTTGTTTAGTATTTGTTTGGCAGCCATCAATACTGAACGTTTTCAGTGAATTTGTGAAAATGGAGATAATTGGTCATCGTTATGTGGTACAATACTTTTATTTTAAATGCCTCAGCCCAGCCAATATAAAAGCTGAACTGGAGTCTACTCTGGGTCAGTCTGCTCATTCGTTTACAACAGTAAAATATGGGGTAGCAGAGTTTAAACGAGGCTGCCAAGGCAGTGGTCGCCCAAATGAGGTGACGACTCCAGAAATGGCGAAGAAAATTCACAAAGCGGTATTGAATGATCGTCGACTGAAAGTGCGCGAGCTAGCAGACATAGCAGGCATTTCAAAAAGTGCGGTTCGTCGCAAATTATCTGAAAATTTGGACACGAGAAAGATCTGTGCAAGATGGGTGCCGCGATTGCTCACACTCGAGCAAAAACAGTGTCGTGAAGATGTTCAATTGAGTGTTTAGTGAAGTTTCACAGCAACAAAGCAGAATTTTTGCGTCGTTTCATAACCATGGATGAAACATGGGTCCATCACTTCACACCCTAGACAAAAGAACAATCAAAACAATGGAATGAAAAAGGACAACTGGCTCCAAAGAAGGCGAAGACCGTTTCTTCTGCAGGCAAGGTTATGGCGTCGGTTTTTTGGGATGCGCGTGGGATATTTTTCATTGATTATCTTGAAAAAGGTAAAACTATCAACGGTGAGTATTATGCGAAATTTTTGTGTTTTCTCCGTTGGGTCGGGTACTTGTGGGACCACCCTCGTATGTGTAAGTTCTGGTTTGGGTAGATACCTAAATTGTAGTTATACATCGTTTTTATAATTATAGAATCTTATAATTCCTTTATTCTCGTAAGGTAAACGAGAGTTGTTTGGAATTCAAATTTTCCCTAACCTCAATACCCTGCGATTCCCGCCTTAAACAACAACCATGTCGGTGTTACAATAAAATGCTTGAACGCAAAATCGATAGTGGTGAGCATGTGTGTACAAGATAACAATAAAATCCACACATCGCATTATGATGAGCTTTAAAAGAGCGCGTCCGATTTTTTTTTTCCACCGGAACTGTCGGCTATTTTTGGAGCGCTGCTAGAGCAAACAGCAATGCGTGCGGGTAGATAACAAAAAGCGAGCAAATCTGATAAAACTCTATTTGTGTTTAAACAGTCAATACAGACGGGGCCAAACAGTATGTTCCACGATAAATAATACTCTTGGTCATTTATAGAGGTGGTTATTAGTATTCTTCAGAATCGGTTAGCTTAGTTCTGTAGTTGAGACAGTATTCTATGAATAAAAATGGCGTCAAATTGTATAGGCAATTTGTTAATTTTTCAAGTTCCTTTGTACTTTTGTATTCAGATCATGAAGTGTTTGAATTAAACAAAATTATAGTAATAGTAACATGATGCCATGATCGTCTAGCCAAATGTGACCACATATGTCTTAAATACTTTTTACTGATATCGCTGACGGATGCCTTTATAAATATATATTATAAAACAACTCCTTTTTCCGCACTGGCGTAAATTGACCAATGCAGCGCTTCACAGCGCTTCATGAAAGTTACCTAGATGTCGGTCAATGCTTCTCGCTGGCGGTCTATGCTTCCAGATGAGTGTCGAACGTTCCCGATGCCGTTGCAAATATTACGTATTCTTTTTGCAAGCTATACCGCTCTTGATGCACGGCGGCGTAACTCTGGTTGCCTAAACGTCGATATTGCCAGGGAGTCTCATCGTTACTCAAAGTTCCAATCATGAGAGCGTTACATTATTACTTTTCTCTGAAAGGTATTCAAAATTTCAATCTTTCATGACTCAAGCATTAGGTTTTTTGTTAGCGGATCCTTCACTGCAACTCACTGGTCTATTGCATACCATGCTATATTAAGTACCTTAAAACTGGCTTACTTCTAAGACACACATTTTGTTTGCCTCTCGAGATATTTAAATTATGTTTAAGAGGTTTTTGTAATGACTGATTCATATGTGGTTTCATCTGACCGTAGGCTCGTGTCAACAAGAAAACCACAGGATAAGTTTTAGGTGTTACATTTCGAATAATAATGTTTGATTGTTTAAAATAACAATTTAACAGATAAAAAATAAACAGTAAAGCCCAAAAAATATGACTATCCGTGGGTTAACAATTTAATACACTTTAATTTAGTTTGCAAATATACTAAGTGACATATAAATCCGAACACCCAGTTTAAATGGTTTTATTTTAATAAAAGTTGGTGAATGTACCTATCTTACTGTAAATAACAAGTGAAAAAATTTTCAGCCTTATCAGTTGGTCATTCCGGTTTTTATACTGTTCTTTTTTAATTCATAAACGCTCTAAAAATGAATATTTCAGCCGCAGTAAAGAATCAACGTTGGCGGATTTTGGTTCTTGACATCCTTTACGATCGGTTACGATGCTTAGAGTACGGAGACCTGTACGATTTCGTCAACTTAGTGAGTTTGATAGGGGCCGTATAGTGGGACTTCGGGAAGCTTGACTTTCTTTTCGGGCAATTGCAGTTAGAGTGCGAAGAAGTGTAGACACTGTGGTTAGGTATTGTCAGGCATGGCTTCGAGAAGGCTGTACGCAAAGAGCAAGGGGCACTGGACGCCGCCGTAGAACAACAGATCGTGAAGATCGCCGCCTAAGATTATTGGCCTATTCTCCACTACCAGGTCCATTGCAAATGAATGGTTTGCAGAACACGGAAGACCTATTGGCATGCGAAGTGTTTACCGACGAATGAGAAGTTTTGGCTTGTTTTCATACCGGCCACACTGGGTCCTCCCTTTAACTCGAGAACACCGACGTAATCGCCTTGAGTGGTGCAGACAACGGTCACTCTGGGATCAGGAATGGAACAGAATTGTCTTTAGTGACGAGTCTCGATTTTGTTTAGGCATGCACGATGGTCGTGCCAGGGTTAGAAATCGACGTGGTGAAAGGAGGAATCCACAGTTTTTTGTTGAAAGACATGTTCATCACACTGTTGGAGTTATGGTTTGGGGTGCTATAGCTTATGGTTCCAGGTCACCTTTAATCTTCATCAGAGGTAACATGAACGCGCAGCGTTATATCCACGAAGTTCTAGAACCCCTTCTTTTACCCTATCTTGACACCCTGGCAGATCCAACTTTCCAACAAGATAATGCCCGACCACATATTGCAAGAATCACAACATACTTCTTTCAACATAAAGATGTCACATTGTTACCATGGCCACCAAGATCTCCCGACTTATCCCCAATTGAGCACGTGTGGGATATGATGGGTAGGAGCACTTCGAGAGGAGTTGGTGGTTGCCTGGAAAGAAATACCACAGGAGGACATTGACCACCTGATCAGAAGCATGCCTAGGCGCGTTGGAGAATGCGTAGCACATCAGGGTGCATCCACACATTATTAAAGGTCAAAAGGCTTTAAAGCAGTGCAATCATTTTGAAATTTTTATCATTTACTTATTATGCTTCACTAAGTACTTGTACAAAATTTTATTAAAATAAAACCATTTAAACTGGGTGTTCGGATTTATATGTCACTTAGTATATATGGAAAAACATGAATGTACAAGTTCATAAGTTTTACATGCGTTTTCTACTCTGAATTATAGTAAATGTTTTTTCTATCAAATAACTGATTTATTTTTGATCTGAAGTAGCTATCTTGGAGCATATATGAAATTTAACTTTGGTTTCTGCAGTAGTAACAGTAACACTATTAACATTTACCATTTCATACCCGGCAACTAGTCTGTGAAATACTTTGTAGCACAAACATTATCACGTTTTCGATTGTCTATTTCAGTTTTCAAAAACGCTCCTGCCACGCCGCCATCTTACGCGGTGGCTCAACAAAATGAGGAGGAAGTCGATTTCATGGCTTCTCTGAAGAGGCTCCTCAACAACAGATCTTACATTCTGCTTCTCAGTGCATATGGCATCAACGTTGGTGTATTTTATGCAATCTCAACACTGCTGAACCAAATCGTTCTTCATTACTATCCTGTAAGTATAGTATATTGATAAAAACCCATCGATCGCGAGCTACCGGTAGCTCGCAAAGGCAATTCTGAGCTCTCAACATATCCTAAAAAGGTGTGAATATCATACAAGCTTCCGCAAATTTTTTAAAATCTCATAATAAACCCAAGCAGCGGCAACACAGCGATGATCGATCTGTTCGAGAACGATCTCGATTACTTTGAACGGAATAAAGCGGTTGAGGTAGGGTTGGCCTGCAATTAAAAACATCATGAGCAGTACTAAGAGGATGAAGACATACTGGTTCTATTCGAAATGGGAAGAACAATATTTCTTTACGGAAGTTAAGGTTGTTTCTTATGTGATACATCTGTTTCCGTTATAAAATTGGTAGTAAAAATTGTGAACAAGATTAGAGCTCAAGCGTTAGGAAGAAGACTATTCAATACCTTGGCCGATGAAATTGACTGTCAATACGAGGAACTACCTCTTCACTCTGAAGTCTGTTGAGTGGGTGACGAGTGCTGAAACGTCTTAATGATATCATATCTGCCATAGTTCAATTTTCCAAACAACGTAATGAATCGATTCCGGAACCGGAAAATTCAATCTGGCTTAGAGATTTTGGTTTTCTTGCGGATATTACAGAAACATTAAATGAACTTAATTTAAAGCTTCGGGGGAGAGACAAAGAACTAGCAGAAATGATTATGATATAAAAGCGTTTATCAACAAAACTTAATCGATGGCGATATGAGGCATTTTCCTGTCCTTTCAGAGAGGATATGTCAAAGTCCATTAGAACCATATGACAGTAAATATCATGTAGAAATAGTCTCTAACTTGAAGGATAACTTCAAAAATCGTTTCAAGGATCTCAACGAAATTGCTATAGTGGTGCGATTTGTTGTTTCACCCTTCATGGAAATTGATTGAAGAGTTTGCAACTTGTGTTACGCAGAATTTTAGCAAAGACATCGCTGCGACAGAAATGGAACTGATTCCGTTTCAAAATGATTTAGCTTCAAAATCGTTAGTCTCAAATACAAAATGTATCTGGCCTTCTTTGCTTTGCTTATTTTGGATGACATGTGGGGTAGGGCAGTCTAGATGATGATTACGTCATCGGTCGTTATTTACTTTTTTACACGAATGGCAATCGTCATATTGTCTTTAACGAAGTGTGGCGATATAACAAATTACAAGCAAAATCCGACAAGGAACTAGATATTCTTGTATATAAGAGAATCGAAGAAGAATTGCAAGCGGCGACTAAGAATAAATCCAATCTACTAAATTTTTTTTCTAAGGTGAGTGACGAAATCATTTTAGGTACCTATGAGTACTAGAAATATTAGAAATCGCCAAAAAGCTTTTCTTTACTGATTAGAAAATATTATGGCCTATCTAAAAGTATAGAGGTAATATTCATTATATTATAGATTTATTTCTTATGATTGATTCCGTCAATTGGTCACAAAGTACAGGAAACTAACACTGTACCTTGTGACCGGAACGAATTGCTCGTTTAAACATATTAGATTTAAAGCCATAGGGTTTTGTATTTACCATTATATTGCCATACTTTGTATTTATGTAGCTTAATAAGAGAATCTTTAGCAGAAGTTTAAAGTTTTTATTTTTAGTCAACCCGTAAACCTGTAGAAAAAACACAAATTATACAGTCAGCATCAAATATTAAAAAAGAGGAAGAAGATAAAATAAAACCCGGTAATGAATCACAACAGCAATGCGAAATTAATAAAAATACAGAGAAACACAGAGCAAAACCTTCTCAGGAAGCTATGAAAAGTAAGATTGCTCTACTCGAAAAAAATCTGAATGCTTTGTATTCTGCCAGAGATACTATGCCATGCCGTGCTGAAGTTGATAAACAGATCATTAAGTTGCGCGAGGCAATAAAAACAGCAAAACAGTTTTTAAACAGGAAGGTTCAAAACGCAGTTGCCCAGAAGAAACACAGGGATGGTATGAAAAGAAAGTTAGAAGATATTTTTCATGAAAATCCAGAAATAAAAAAAGACTATCTCTGAGGGTATCAGTGGGACGTCCTAATCGTGAAAGCAATCAAAATTCACTATTGAAAACAATCGCGGATATAGCTTTATTTGGGAGTGCAGCAGATGACAGAAGACGAACGGAATCAATTCGCAGCGTAAAAACTCTTGATGAACTCACACAAGAATTACGTAAAATAGGATTTGACATTAGTCGCAGTGGGACATATCTTCGTTTGATTCCCAGAAAATCTAATTCTGCAGAGGGACGAAGACATGTATCGACAGTCCCTGTTAAGCTCATTCGGACTCAAACTGATTACCACAAGAGCCACTTAGATAGCAAGTTCGCTGAAACATCAATCCATTATTTAGAGAATATAGAATCAAATTGCCTGATCACGATTGGGTAATCGCTGAGCGTCATAAATTAATACCATCTGTTTATGCTGGTATCAAAATCACTTCCAATATGCTAGGACAACCGCAAGCCTTTGGATATTCTGGACCAACATACATCGCTATTAGAAGTGGAAAGCATAGTTCATCTACTGCTAATACTGATGCTCAGGATTTCGAGACGCTTTTCGAACTTGAAGAGTTTCGACCTTAACTAAAACTGACCATGGACTAGTAAAACCAGTGGTAATTATGACGGTTGATGGAGGGCCAGATGAAACTCCACGTTATCAAAAAGTCATAGGGTTTTTTTTAAGCGACATGATCTCGATGCATTGTTTTTAGCTACCAATGCTCCTGGAAGAAGTGCGTATAACAGAGTAGAGCGCAGAATGGCTCCTCTTAGTCGGGAAGTGGCGGGTTTAATATTTCCTCATGACCATTTTGGGTCTCATTTGGATGAACGTGGCGTTACAATTGATGAACATTTCGAAAGATCTAATTTCGAATTTGTAGGAAATGTATTAGCTGAAGTATGGAGTTCAATGGAAATTGATGGCTATAATGTTAATGCTAAATATGTTGAGTCAGGTGAATAAGATCTTCCTGATTTTCCATACATTAAATGGTATTCGGAACATGTTCGTGAGAGCCAATACTTGCTTCAAATTGTAAAATGTAGAAATACAGAGTGCTGTCGTCCAAGAAGTGGCCTATTTAGATTACTAGACAATAGGTTTCTTCCACCACCTGTAAAAGTAAGACAAACAGTTGTCGACTTGGTTTTGGATGAAGGAGCGCAATTTCTCAATCATATAGTCAATTTAGCTCTACGCTTAAGTGCTTCACTCAAAGATTTCCTGCAAATGCCCTACGATTATTTTCACCCGACGGTAAAATTGAGGCTATCAAGTCGAACATGCAAAACATGTGGTCTTTATCATGCTCACTAAATCGCCACATCGAAAACATCCATAAAAAAAGTAAACACGCACAAAAATTTAAAATAAGTTTGTTATGTTAGTAATATTAACAATATTTTTGTCCTTTACTCTATGTTGAATACCGCGTATCAGTAAAATATAATCTCTATCCTAAATCTATTTTCTTATTTTGCTTTGCTTACTTTTGCTGACAGTGGGGATGGGGGGGGTAAATAATCGTAATAAATCTGCCTACGTAATACTTGAACGGCCCCTTAGTCGCAATTACAAAATGTATCTGGCCTTCAGTAAGTAAGGATAAATATTCAGTTTTATGTCGTGTTGGCTTGACGGTGGAAGCGTTATTTAGTTCAACCTAACATACTTGTGTGAATCTTCTTTTTCAATTATGAAGTTCATTAAAAACAAATACTGCAATCAACGTACATATGAACATTTGGATATTTGTATTCGAATAGTGGTATCAAATTATACTCCAAACATTGAAGAAATTGTCAGGCATCTCATTGAACGCGCATTCCTTATCTGGATCTTTTTTTTTTAGTTAGTTTAGTTTTATTAAATCGTATGTGATATGCTATTGTAGCTGGCGAACACTGCCCTACGGGGTATCCTGTCGATACAGGTTCATGAAGGATATTACTGCAAATAAGTTTTTCTTAAAGAGCTTCTGAGCGACGTTATATAATTCAAGGAAATAATAAGAACATGGTAAACAATGCAACTCATTAAGATTGCCAGGGGTGGATTAGCCCTAAATAATTTCTCAAAAATAATATTTTTTTGAAATACATTAAAAATAACCCTATTTATAGTTACTAGCTAAATTCGCCGTATGCATTTTCTGTATAAGAATAAGGTTATTAGTGACGTTTTGTATTTTCAGGATGCTAGTGCAGATGCCGGACGTATAGGGCTGGCAATAGTTCTCGCAGGAATGCTAGGATCAGTCTGCTGTGGAATTATTTTGGATAGATTCCATAAATTCAAGTAAGTCTCATTCTAGCTTTCTTAAATAAATGAAAATCTGAAATCTATCCATTTTGGGTTTAAATAAGTCAATTCCACTTGCCCTTATTAACCATATATTGCATTCAAGTAAAGTGTCTGACATCTAGAGGCTAGGTACAATTTTGTGAAAAATGTATCTATGCCTTCGTTTTTCATTTATGGTACCACGTGTTCCAGCATGTGCGTTTAGATTCTTAAGCTTTTTCCTAATTGATGGGATTTATATTTTTTTCAGAGAGACGACACTAACAGTATATGCATGCTGTCTTGTGGCCATGCTCATATATACATTTACCCTTTCCGAAGGAATTGTGGTAGTATATGTTATATCAGCCGTTCTAGGGTAAGATTTTTATCACTATTTCTCATATATTTTCATATGCTACAGTATATTCAGATAAGAGATAGACCGGACATAAACAAGACCACGTGATCATCGAACGCTGTAACATTCGGCAGGGACGTATTAAGAGTCACGCAGTACATATTTTAGATAGTAGATGTTGCTTTGCGTAACTTTGTAGTAAATTAGCACATTTCGATGTGTATACGATTGGTGATGGATATAGGATCATGTGGGGGTGGGGTAAGAAATATATAATGATGTAAATATACATAAGGGTTTCAAAATTTTCGCATATGATTTCCAGCTTCGGATGCCGCCTGATGCTTGATGAAATACAGTCAAATGTAATCTCAAAATGGCGTTTAAATTAGCCTAAATTAAAAATAATCGTATATCTCTTAAAATTGCTTTTAGAATATTGATTAGTATATTTTTTGATTTCTAGGTAAATATGTAACCAAATTAAAACGTTCAAAACTTAAAAAAATTTGCATGGTTGAACATTGTCAGAAAGTAGATTCTTGAATAGGTTTTGCCAAAATGGGTTGAAAAATATCAATAATTAATTAAAAAATACAGTAGCTTTATAATTACTTATAACTTACCGAATTTGATGAACGACATCTTTTATTGGAAAGATGAGCTTGATGAGCTTTCATCATCGCTACTGCCTGAAGCACCAACGTCAATAATGAATGGCTCGACTTGTTCCTCTAAAATATTGTCCAGTTCCCACATTCTCTTTTCAACTTTGTCTTTCACGTGCTTAATACAGTTTTCCCATTCTTGCGCTGTTATTAATTCTAGTGCTTCTTTGAAAAGTCCTTTGAGGTCACAAAGTTTAAAAGTTGTATTGTGCTTAGCTATATAATTTTTAACCTCTGCCCATATGAGCTCAATGGGATTGAGCTCGCAATGGTATGGAGGTAAACGGAGCACAGTTTTATTTTGACTTGCTGCGATTTCGTCAATGGCGTATTTTTGATATTCCGCCTTGTGATCCTTGACAATTCTTAATAATTGCACTTTCAGCATTGCTTCTTCAAAGTTGATATTTTTCGAGAGGATCCAATTTTGAACATCAACTTTCCTTGAAGCCGTTGTTGGGACCTTCTCCATTCTTCGAGAATGATAAGGCGCATTATCCAACACAATTACTGCGTTTTCCTCTAAGTTCGGTAAAATTTTTGAAAACCACTGTTCAAACGATTCGCCATTCATTTCCTCGTGGTAATCTCCAGTTTTCTTAGACTCAAAGCACCACAGACCGTCAACAACAAATCCATCCTCACTGCCAATATGGCAGATAATGAGCCTTTTCCCTTTACCTGGAAATCGAAGTACTAACTGGTGTAGATTTATTTCAATAAGCGAACCTTTTTCAAATGTTTTCATCACATTCAGCAAAAAAACATTGAGACATGAGTATCAGATTGCTATAATTGGGATTATTTAGTCATATTGAAAGAAAGAATATTGAACGTCATATGATTACTCAGCGCTTCACAATTTAATTTAAAGTTATAAACCTTTAAAAAATGAATGATCAGGAACCTGAAATACGCGCAAATATTAATATTAACAAATTATAACTTTATAAAGCTTAAAGTATGAATTAAAATGATTAGAAATATTAGGAACGGTACACAATATAAAACTTAGTAACTTTTTTTAAGTTTATAATATTCGACATATTTTAAGATTATATTAAAAGATTATTGAAATATCGAAAACACATAAAAACAAAGTTCTAACAAATGAAAATGACAATAAAACATCCACGCATTTTATCGAAAGTTATAAAAGTTTTGTTACTTGTAATATGTTTTATCTGCCCCCTGGAATTAATGTTTAGAACCTTGTTCCCAAGGTTTGAAAAACATCCGATTGTTGTCTATTACTCGTATTTACCTGCTGGATTTTTTAATCCGGTGGACAGTCCATCTAGAAAGGCCCTCCTGGATGAAGTTACAGAATCATCAACCCATACTTTACTTGTAGTGTGTCCTGCGTTTACCCACGTTTCATCAAGGTAATAAATCTTCCTGTTTTGATTTCTATATTTCCCAATTTTTGTTAAATAATCCCTCCTCCATAGCACAATTTCTTCTCTATCCAGTAGTAAACTATTACGACCCCGTTTTTTCCATTTGAAATTTAAATGCTTCAGTAACGCATGGAAAGTTGATCGTTTGAAATTTGGCAACGTTGTATCTCCATTTACCTCCTGCAGTACTTTATCTATAGTAGGTATTTCATTCCTAAAGAAGAATTCATGCACTTTCCTCCTAACCGCATGCTTATCAGCTTCATCCAATGATTTAACAACACTTTTGCGATGTTTACTGGTCATTGGCTCAGAAAAGGTGTGATTTTTTTTGTATTGTCTTAACACATTAAACACTGATGCGCGACACACCCCAACTTTGTGAGAAACCTTCACAACAATTTCTTTGATGGTTGATGCCTCGTTCTCCTCGCGCTCGATCTTATATATATTCAAAATGACCTCTTTCATTTCTGCACTCAGGTGTCTTTTTTTAAAGCGTTTCCTAGGTGGACTACAGGAGTTTACAACTTCATCGGCAGTATCTGTACTACTGGGCATTTTGCGCAAGCAGTTGATAACAATAACAATCAATAACAAGGTATAACAATAACAACGACAAACTCAACAACTTAATAAGATAACAAACGAAAACGTCCAAAGAAATATCAAATTGCAATGATGCACACGACATACGTAACACGTCTGAACCTGAATGTGACTCTGCCTTGCTACGACTGCTCTGCCGCTCGACATAGGCATTTAATTGCGAATTGACCAATGAGGGCTCCTGTTTTACGTCGAGACGGCGGCGTTAGCCTGAAAATCACTCGAACCTTTTGTTTACATCCGGTCTATCTCTTATCTGAATATACTGTAGGTATATATATATATAATGGCCATTGAACGTTAAAAAAAAAGACTGTGAATGTTGTACGCCCATTCGTCGAGAAAAACTCAAATATATAAACTGCATTACAGTTCAATGAATAAATTCATAATAATCAAAGAAGAGTCACGAAAACCTAAGAAGATTTACAACCTTGAACAATCAATTCACTCTTCTAAAAACGCGAGCAAGAATTTACGCACCTTCAAAAAGTAGGCTACAATACTCAATAGATAAATAAACAATTATTTATAAATCTGTATAGATAACATTGTCACAACGTTTGTAGATCGGGGATAGTTTGTAAGATAAAAGTAAGATCTTTAAAAAATAAATAAACTTGTTTATCCCTTTACCTATTTCGTGGCAATGTGACGTAACCGTGAAAATAAGTTTTATTTTTCCTTAAAGAGGTTGCTTCGAAGACTTCATAGATATCAAACAGAAGTGGCTACATTTTTTCAGCTACTATATGGGATAACTACCTAATTAAAAAAATTAATACATGAATCAGATGTTCTATGCTTTTCCAACACTATTTTAGATATATTTTTTTTAATCCAGTGCCATGGCAATTTTTTATGGAAAGGTTTGAACTATCATTATTGAGTCCTTACATTTCACCTTTGTGTGAAGCTTTTTTTCTACGGCAACATTGCCATGGATACTGAGGATTTTGGATGCAACTACCCCTATATTAACCGCTATGGACCAATAAAATAAAAATATTTATAAACCATTTTCACCTCCCACGCCTACTGGCGAGGAACTATTGTAATCGCGAGAAAATGAGACTTTTTTTGATGTTAAGTGACACGTGCAACATGAAAAGCCATCTGTCGGTCTGTTTGTCTGTCTGATCGTTAATCCAAGGCCCGTTGGAAAGTACGAGTCGGTTTTTGATAAAATGCCAAGCACGGAAAACCTTTGTAGTTTTTGGAAATCTGTCCAGTGCCGGTGAGGAAAACGCAAAAAAAACTAAAAAAAAAATATAGATATCGCTCAAACTTCGTTTTTGCAGGGGTTGGAATTCGGGGGTTGGGGGTAGTAGAAGGTGAGGGTATTTGAACATTTTTTAAACTTGGTACATCTATGCGCTCCTACCCCTAATTCCATGCACCTATTACACATATTTCACAGATCATAAGATATATATACAGGGTGGCGCATCGAAAACGAAACAGACGCTTTTACTGGCAGCTCAGTTTTTTTTTTTTGAAAAACGCTCAGACCCGTCGATTTTGTTTTCGAGGGGGGCACAAGTTTGGCAAAGAATCACGTTAACACGTGCAGCCCCCCTATTACATAAATTAACCATGGTATATTCCACAGCAGAAAGAGTTGAAATTACCGAAATATTTTGCGGAAGTAATCAGTGCGCTAATAGAACAGCAAATATATTTAATGAGCGACATGAGAACAGTCACGTGCATCGAAAATATGTTCTAGAACTTGTAGCTAAATTTCGGGAAACTGGGTCAGTCGCCAATAAGAAACGCAACATTGAAAACATTAATAGAAGTGGGGGTTTTAGGGCAAGTTTATGTAGATCCTACGTTAAGTACCCGCAAATTGGAGGCTGTGTGTTAGTCGACGTACTGTCCAAGAGATTCTAAAGGCCCATAGTTTTCATCCGTATAAAATTCACCTGGTACAAGAACTTAATGCAGACGATTTCGATTGGCGATTTCAATTTTGTGAAGATATGACTGAACGAATTATAAACGATGAACATTTTCTATTCAACACTTGCTTTTCCGACTAATGTTCCTTTTTGTTAAATGGCGTAGTAAATCGTCATAACTGCCGATATTGGTCCGATTCTAATCCCAGAATTTATCATGAGGTTCATACACAGCAGCCAAAAAAAATTAAATGTTTGGGCTGGTATTTTTGGCGATCATTTAGTTGGTCATTTTTTCTTACCTGTAAATTTTACTGGTGAAATGTATTTGGAATTACTGGAAGACGCCATAGATCCTGCATTAACAGCCATAATTGAAAATCAGAATGATCGGCGGTACATTGCGAATAGGTTGATGTTCCAAGAGGATGATGCCCCACCACATTACGCATTACGTGTTCGACAATATTTAGATCAGACGTTTCCAGATCGGTGGATTGGTAGAAGAGGTGCCATTGAATGGCCCCCAAGATCGCCAGATTTATCACCTTTGGATTTCTTTATGTGGGGTCATTTAAAAAGCAAAATCCATGCTAGTCAGCCAACATCATTAGAAAACCTGCGACGAAGAATTGTGAATGAGTGCCTTCAAATTACTCCTCAAATACTGCAAAATGTGCGGCAACGTTTTGAACAAAATCTTTACTATTGCATGGAGAGTCATGGTGGCCATTTTCAACATTTACTTGCCTAGCTGAAGTACATTAATTTTATATCATTATAAAGGGAATTGAAAGACCTTTGAAATAAAGTATCACTGGACTCTTTCCCTTTCCATTTAAGATTTTGGGGGTGGTGTCACCCCCGCTTAGGGGGCTGCACGTGCTAACGTGATTTTTTGTCAAACTTGTGTCCCCCTCGAAAAGAAAATCGACGGGCCTGAGCGTTTTTCAAAAAAAAACTGAGTTGCCAGCAAATGCGTCTGTTTCGTTTTCGATGCGCCACCCTGTATAATATGATACTTGCCTTAAACCAGGATAATAGATAAATGCTTTTGATACACATACCTGCTATCATATCGCGGAGATGCGGCGTTTCCAGATGGACGATACTAGTGGTAGGGCGAGGAAATAATGTCTATTAACTTATTATAAGAGCCTGTTTGACTTACCTGATCCACTTAATTACCCTGTTCTACACGTTCGCAACTAACTTTTTCTCATAAGATCTAACTTGTGGGAGCATAATCCTTTATGAACTGATGACGATGTCGTGTGAGAGTGCTTTTGACCCCACTATTTCTTCTAGGTTCTTCATGACCGGGCTACTTCCAGTTGGATTCGAACTCGCCGCAGAGCTGACATATCCGGAACCAGAAGGCACCTCCTCAGGCCTCCTCAATGCAGCCTCAAACCTCTTCGGCATAGCCTTCACAAACGCTTATTCGGCTCTCTTCTATCAAGTTGGTGACGTGTGGGCTAACATCGTCATGTGTATCTCTTTAGGAGTAGGAGTGATCTTGCTAGCCTGCACTAGCTCCGATTTGAGACGGCAGGCTGCGCATTTGGATGAGAAGAATCCGAAACATTAGGTTATTAGGTTCAGTTTTTTTTGTGATATTCATGAGGACGTTATTAAGTTTCGTGTTTAGCTGTCATTGAAGGATATTTGTTGCGTTTTATTCTTTATAAGAATTGTTTGCTATAAAAATACAAAATTATGAATGGTCACGATTTTTGAGAGATCCTCGTGGTGGAAAGGACCAGGCACAAATCGTATAGAAGATGGATCCCAGTCGATTTGTCAAAAAATTCAGTACGATATATTTCTTGTCCACCCGAACAAAAGTGACCATGGGACCAACGCAATCCTATAATTAGTTTCTGAGAAATAGGCAGATAAAGTTTGCCTGATTTGTATAAATGGTGAATGTGTCAATTGCAGCTCTCAGGCCAAAAACACGAGAATCATTATACTAAAAGAAATATTTCTCTTAAAGCACCGTGTAGGGAGGTGTCATGTTGATCGTGACCATGATTCTTACAAGGTCAGTTTCAGAGCAAGTTGATTTTATATGCTCTTAGATAGGTCTGGTGCGAATTGCTCAAGAAAATCAGAAAACTCAATACGACACTAGCATTTCAAGGACACAGACTATGTCTCACTCTTAATGCGTTTGGAAATCCATAAAGATTATCGCTTGAATGTAAAGCTTACGTTTTCCTTAAACAAAATATTTACATTGCAAAAAATGTGAAAACAGGTCAAGATTAGAAGGCATTCCTTTTGTACGGTTTACCAATACTCCAATAGTTTTTATATAGAGGATATCCTGATGTCACTATATTGTTAGATCAGGTGGGTATAAGTTGGAAAATGCCTTTACCTCTGGGAGGAAATCAATGGCTGGTGTCCACGGAATTATCCAATGAACCTCGGTTAGTTACCAAGACAAGGTGGGTGGTTCGAGAGTTATTCAAATACTGTATGTATCAAATCTAGGAACATTTATAAAATACCTCATGATCTTATTGATAGGTATTATCATCTAATTATTATGGAAGGTAGATTAGCGCATCAGCTGTTAGCAACGTAACAAGAGGCGACCGCCGTTTAACAAAAAGGTGTCCACAAAAAAGATTTACTCACGATCTTGATACCCAATCATGTGTCGACTATGGATATCTTATCAAAAAGTTTATGAAATTAACGAGGATTTACATGACAATCTTGCAATGAAAAATGGGCGGCATTACTGTAGATGTCTGAACCCTAGGCATACGTGGTTTCTTGACATGCCCTCTATTATACTGGAGTTTGGTTATGCTTCGAAAAAGTTGTTCCAGACCATTCGATAGGTCGGAAGCAGACCAAAACAACAAAACTCAAATCAACAGTCAAGCTACCTATACAATTGTGTTTTCTGAATTCTCGAGCAACTCGTACCAGATCTATTCCAGCACAAATATTCAACCATATTGGCCAAACATTTATTCCTCTATTTAATATTAAATAATCATGTTTCAGTTCGAAAGTATAGATATAAAGTGATAAAAATTATTGTAATTGTGTCTAGATATAGGATTTGTGGAAGATTTAACGCAGATAAGTTCAGTTTTCCATCTTAAAAATCCAGACATACTTTTGACCATTATCAAAATATGAATCAAATATGAAGCCCGTAGAAATTGCGTAACTACTTTGCACGATAATCACAATAAAATTTGCTGCGCAAGTAATTCAATAGCCCTATATCACAGTGTAAAAGTTTATCATATACCTGTGTATGAAATTCACAATGGCCGATCTGTAAGTAAACAAGATGACTGTAATGTATTAGTTATATATTCTTCACTTCGTCTATACAATACAATACATAAGAGAAAGTTTGGTTGCGATAAAGTAGAATCATGTAACAGAACAGTTGTATAGTTGACAAAAACTGAATCTTGCACTGACGCAAATGTCCTATAGCGGCTGTAACAGGCTTACACTTTTGTTGTATAACTGTTACCTGCAGCCCTTATACAACCCCTTAAATGACTGAAGTGCCCTATTAGGTGTGCCCATTCCGCTTGTATAGCTGCTCTAAGAGGGTTTTGCCAATGTTCTTACAGTATACAATGCTGTGTAAGGAAGGCTGTATAATCATTCTTGCAACTCTAGTAGGAGTGATAATTGTTAGTTGGGTAGGCACTTTTGTTCAGGAAGGCAAGAAATATATCGTACTGAGTTTGTAGACAAATCGACTGGGATCCATTTTCCATATGTTTTGTGTGTGGTCCTTTAACAATCCGCAATGGTATAAAAGTAGGTTGAAGCTAAACATTTTTCTGCTATAAGTAACCAAAGTATAGCTTACTTTCCGATTAATATATACCCAAGATAATTGCAACCTGTGCTTCACCAAAAATGAGCGTACGTATTTTGCCGCCGTCAATTATACGGGGTGATTCAAATTCAACTCTGACCATTGGGATCACAGCAACATGTGCGAACTTTTGTGAAATGCCCCCTGTGCACTTAGGTAATTAGCAAATGGCAAGGTCGTTTGTATTTTTACCTGTTTTTATTTGAAGTGGATTTGAAAATGAATTGCTCATTAGCATTGCCACATTTTTCACTTCACAGAGTGGTACAACTACACAACCACCATCTTTAGGTGTCAGCTTTGTGACCTCTCGTTCTGTTGCCAGATGTTCTAAGATTTCTAATTCCATCGTTGAGAAATTGTGTCTTGTCTTAGGAATAATTGCGAAGGGGGAATGAGGGATGATCTTTTTTCTTCCTGCAGTCTGTTTTGAGGGAATTACTGCGATCCTAGTTGTCAACATGGCTGTGACGGTGGAAATTTCAGATGAACGTTGAAATGCAGCATATGGCTGATTATTTTTCTTCGGTAAATTTATCGTGAAAGTTAGCTAACTCATTTATTATCATTCCAAGATGCCTAGTTAATACAAAAGATAAATCTGTATACTGATTCTCAAGTACGTACCTGAACGTTACCAATGCCTTATTTTGTTTGTTGCTGTTGACCTGCTCAGCAGTTCTAGAGGCTACCATCTAGTTTCGATGACTATAGTTTCATAAAGATGCACTTCCTGTAGGCATTAAAATAAAATGGCGATATTCTTGGGTAAAGCTCAAACCCTGAGTAAATTTTCGATAAGTTGATTCCAGTGTCTCTGCATTTATTTATTGATGTCACTTGACTGTTTTGACGCTATGGTTATGTATTCAGATATCACTTGAAAAACTTATCTGGTCAAGAAGATTTCAAAAATGCAGATGTTTGAATTATCTATCAAAATAGGGAGTTCAGTTTTAAATGCATATACATATTTGTAGAAAAATAATCCTCAGTTCTCAAATTTTAATACATCACCGGACTAAGTATAATCCTCATTCTTGAATAATTCTAGCGCAGATGGAGGAATCGTTTTTTTTGTTTTCTGATCGTTGTTTAAAGACAAAGACTCCTGATAATCACATCATTTTGTAAATAATCATTTAATTTTAAGTATATTTAATTTATATATTTAATATTACAGGTATTATGTCCGAATTAACTGCATGGATTGATAAACAGCGTCTCGTGTTTTCAATAGTTTTATACATGTTGTCATTATACAATGTGTCCGCAAAGTTGGGGTGTTCCTTTTCAGAAAGAACTACCCTTGAAATAATAAAGATAATGTGTAGTGAAACGAGGGCGACCAAGTAAAAAAAAAAATAAAGGAAAAAGTACTCACTCTCCAGTTGACGAGAAGTACGTCTCTGCCCGAAATCATACCGCTCCAACAGAAAATGAAATCAGCTGATGCGCTACCGAGCAGACGCAGAAACCACATTGATTGTCTTACACTTAATGGCACATCTTCTAACAAGGAAGGCAAAATGTTGCGTAAAAAGTCTAGGTATTGCATCCCGTCCAATCGATTTGGGAGAATAAATGGTCCAAAGGGTATACCGTTCACCATGCCAGCCCAAACATTCACCGAAAATGTTTGTTGAAAATGTGCCCGACGGACGGCGTGCGGATTTTCTACTGACCAAACATGAGTGTTGCGAAAGTTATTCACCCCATTACGCGTGAACGTAGATTCGTCTGTCACCAATATGCACTTCAAAAAGTCCGGATTATTGTCATTTTGATGCAACAACCACTCACAAAACCGCACTCTTGATGGAAAATCGTCAGGTTGAAGGGCTTGTACACGTTGGACGTGAAACGGATACAGCCCCTCTTCACGCAGCGTTTTCTACACTTTAGTTTTTGATTCTTGCACTTCTCTAGCCACGTCTCTAGTGCTTGTTATTTTTTGAGACGCAATCGAGTATACGGGTTCGTTTACCTCTACACGCGTGACCGTAACCGTCGGTTGAAGGTTGCATACTGATCTGACACACTGACCGCTACCCAGTTCTGTCGCCGGGTTGAGCTAGTGTCCTAGTACCACTCGGGGATGTCGCGGGTCGCGGCTACAGGACGGTATTCAGATATTTTTGATGTTGCAGAACCCTTTATCTCGGTTCCCTTAAGACATTAGTGTATATGGTACTGAGAAAAATTGCTTATGTTTTCAAGATCTACACGTCGTGTAAATGAAAACCCCAACTTTGCGGACACCCTGTAGATGTAACAGAACACAGCGGATAAAAATACATAAAGTATCACTTTCCGCACAACTTTTCGGCACAAATGCGTGCTACCTTCTGCACGCAGATGCGTGTTGCAAGTGAGCACTTTCCGCATGTTGTTAGAAAAATACTTATACCTAACACTTGCGGAAAGTGTATTTTCCGCCCTTCACGTCTAACCCGAACTCCGCTTATTATAACTTTCCGCACTTGTTAGGTGAATAACTATTTCTCATTTTTTCATTAGAGTGGCATTTACTCTAATCACAACACGGAATTCATGTACGAGACACTGTCTTCAATCCAAAATGAAAAGCCAAAGACAATATAATTTAATGGCATACGAATGTTTTGTTTAAAATAGAATCGAATAGGAATGTTAAGAATGGCGGATATGGATTCTGTGATGCTCATTTCTTTAGATTTCATGGAATTTAAGTGTGATCGTAACTTATTTTTACTTTTTCGCAAATATTATGCCAGTAGGTAGAAGTTTTACGTTTTGTAAGTCTACGTCCTATCTGTATTGCAATGTATTTTTTACCTTTGTTATGGTTATCAGAAAATAGGCGTAAATAATATAATAATATTGATGACTGATGATGCCTTATGGAGATACAGCAATTTGTCTGTAATATTTTCTTGAAGATAGGAGGCTGCAATTGAGCCTCAATACCATGCACAAAGTCAATATTATAATACCTAATATCTGAAATTTATATTGTTTCGCTGACCAATCTTTATGTTATGAATAAAACCAGAGAAGTATATTGAAAAGGTTGAATAACGTTTCGGCTTTTTCGAAGTACAAATGCAAAAATGAAATCGACATTGATATTGATGTTTTTATATAGATGTTTAGGACATAGTCTAATCGTATTAGATAAAAATACCCCTGGTTCGCGAAATAATTGTAAAGTCTGGTTTTATTGCGGCAAGTTACTCAAGGGGGTATTCAAAACATGGACGCATAAAATGAAGCAAGTTGATCAAGGGGGTATTCAAAACATGGACACATAAAATGGGTACACCAATTTTTGTGGGAAAACTTTTTGTTCGACAACAAAGAATGAGAACGTGTTTCTTGGGATTCAAGCGAAAGTGTTGGCACTTTTTCCACTTGTTGGTAATGCAACGATGGTTTCTCGCAAATATTTGAAATTTTTCAAATTCGTGGGATTCTGAATAACCACAAAAAAATTGGAGTACAGTGGCATTGTATAGCAAAATATGCTAGTTTACCCTGCCGATATGAATCGCAAACTATTCCGAATAGATAAATGTTATTTAAATGCAATAAAGGATGGGCAACGTTTTTTCTCAATTAGAGATTCTCAAAAAACTACTTGACCAATATAATCCAATTTTGTTGTTGTTATTTAGAAGTATCAATCCTACGGATTTAAAGGATTTTAAGTAGTTGCGTCAAATTATCGTCGCATTGACAACAAGTGCCAAAGCCTGTATTTTGCGTCGTTTTTCGGCCATAACATTTTTGCTATTAGTCGGATCTTTTCACGTGTGGTTTCATTTTGTAGGCTTTCATAAATACCTAAAAATCTTATATTAAAAGTTTTCTCGTCAACACTTTCGATTGAATAAAA